CTCCTTCTTTCTTATCCAACGTTTTGCATGTTTATAGAATTATACTAATGATATGCCAACAAGAATCTCTCACTTTCTTTCACTCAAAGCTGCTTTGCATGTCCCTTTATTTCATATTTGCTCATTTATTTATCTTCTTGCTGCCATGTTTTGACAGAAGGGGATGCCACTGGAGGTGAATCTGCTCCAGTTCTTTTATGCGTACGTGCGTAAGACGGCGAGCAGCTCCCAGTTGGCTGACTCTTGGCCCTCCCTTCTGGGTCTGCTCAAGGAGTGTCTTCAGCTCAACCTCTCTCCACCGGCCCTCTTCCTACTGCTGCAGTGAGTATAGTTGTGTCTTACGGATTCACGGGAGGATGAGAGGGGCTTTAGTGATAACCAAGTTAATGGTAGTGATATTTATATCATTTGTAAGCCGCTTCCTAATTAATGACAATTGTAATACAGTTGAACTTTCTCTTAACTGCTTCCTGTTTAAAACAATCACTTGTACAAACTGCCACTTCCCATTACACCACTTGTTACTTTTAAAATATTATAATGACACTGTGTAAGGTGGCCACCTGTTTAAGATGGCCACCTTTTGTGATGGGTACATTTTTTCTAGGAAAGCATACTGCTGTCTGAAGGCAGGATGACGTAACTGCACTTGTCATGATTTCAAGAAAAATGTAAAAAAAACTTTTAACGCTTAATATTGAGATCAGTCACTTGCGTAGCTTTAACACTTTGATATTCTGTATTTTGGATGTAGATATATCATTATGCCTTTGACACTAGAAGGATATGCACAAGACTTGGGCAATAAATCAGTCAAACGAAACAAAACACCTATAATTATGACTAATCTGCCAATTGTTTTTGTTGGTCACGTTTGTTTTCCTCTTTGCTGGGATGTAATACAAAGACTTAAGGTTATAAAATAAAGAATGAGCCTGAACAAAAAAATTGCCTGGTTTTCCGCAGGATCCTGCAGGAGTTTGTACAGAAGACTCCGTCAATGGAGGAGAAGAAAAACCAGAAGGAGCTGCAGGACATTTGCCAGAAGGCTCTGGAGTCCATCTCAGCCATCGCAGGGTCGTCCCTCGAGCAGACCACGTGGCTGAGGAGGAACTTTGCCGTGAAGCCTGGACCCCAGAACGAGGCTGAAGATGACGCTGAGGTCCCGGAGGACACGGAGGAGGCGGCGAAACCCGAGCCCAGCAAGACTTTCATACGACGCAGCCAGGCTTCGGACTCCAAGTACAGTGTGCAGGCGTTGGGATTTCTGGCAGAGGTGAGTGGTTAAGGAGGGGTTTGGGTTTAGTTACTGGTTAGGGTGCTAAAAGAAGTATTAGGATTTTGTAAGTGGATGAACAGTAACAGGTGTTATAATTTGGTTAGTAGTTGATGTGCTGTAGCCCGAGTTAGGGTAAGAGTTAGAGTTGAGTGGTTGGAGGGGAGGAAGAGGATTTTGCAAAAGTAACTTCACATTCCTCTAAAATTTGTTTTACAGAGTTATGTATATTATATTTACTAGCGCAGAGCACTGTAGGCTGCTGTCATTCAACGAGGAATGCCTTCAAAAGTATCATGCGCAACTATGATGCGATTGGCCCCGGTTTGAATCTCCAACATGGCATTTTTGGTTCTCCAACCACTTACTTTGTTCCTGTCAGAGATGGAAATTGAATTGGGAGATTCCATCTCTTACAGTTTTGGACATGGCACTTAGCCCATATCATACTGCCATACTACTGCATTCATGTAAAAGAGAGAAAAAGAATAATTTTTTTTGTGCCATGACTTATGGGACTTATATATTGTAAGATGCAAATGATTTAAACTACTCCTGAATTGACTGCTGTAAATGTATTACCCGTATGGTACTACCATACTACTACTGTAATCTTCAAAAGAAAGAATGACTTAAATGTTTTAGTCTGAATCATTAAATGCTAGCTACAAATAATTTATTCCTCACTTTAAAGGGCTGAAATAAGTGTCAATCCCTACAAAATAACCATATCACTACTGCAATGGAACAAAAGGGAACCAAAGCATTCATTTTTAAAGAAATTACAGGGCCTAAAGTATGTTTACCATTATTATATCCACTTGTATCCACTCCTCAGCTGACCGCTCCGATACTGGATGTGATATACAGCAGCGAAGAGAAAGACCGCGTTGCTCCATTCCTCACTACTTTGCTCTACAATGTCTTCCCCTACCTCAGACATCACAGGTGAGAGAAAACCCATTTCTATGAGAAAATTAAATGTTTCTACTTGTCCGTTTGTTTCGTACATGACAGTAAATGTCTCTGCTGTTGTGAGTAAATCAGCCCTTGACATCTTTCAAGCCCCCTGGTGGAAAGTTGCTCAGTACCTGTTTCATCTCCGATGGATTGCTGCAGACTCACATGATCTAAGTTATGTCTCAGTGGATAAGTAAAACATTTAAAATCATTTTACAACTGTTCCTGGCCAAATGTGCTTGTTGCGATGTTGACATATCATGAATATTTCTTGTCGTATTTGCTACTTTAACCTGAACTCTTTTTCTGCACTGAATGTGTATGAGGGGCGCTACTGGTAGGTCTTACCAAAAATAGTACAAAACAAGATAGTTCACTCCTCCCTTTGAGCCAATTAAAAAAGCATCCTCAAAGTCTTGTGGCGCCCTCTTCGAAAAAGCACACCCTTTGCGAATAGAGTTACCCTACTTGTGTGAAAAAAAATCAGTGAAACTAACAAGTTTTTGAATAAATTATAATTTAATTTTCGGAAGAACGCTTTTTTAAAATGGTTACGCTGACAAAAAGATTTCTTCGTTTAATTTGACTTTAGAATGAGAGGCGAGAGGTCTTTAAAATAAAAAACCTAACTAAAACTCCGCACTGAAAGAACCGGAACAGCGGATGAACAGCAGTCGATTTGCGCACGTAAGGGGGTGCTATTCCCATTCTTCTTGTGGAGAAACGAAAGAGAGCTTCAAAACAAAGACTTGCAGCGCCATCTGAAGCAATGAGCAAACTTCTGCGTACACTTTTTTGGCTGGGTGAATCATCTTATTACGTACTGTCTTTGGGTCTTACTCAGTGGATGTGGGTGATTTGCGGGTGTTCTGATGTGGTTTGGTTCTTTCCTGTCAAATGTCTGTTGTTCTTATCTCTCCTTTTTTGTGTTTGTTACTCTCTTGTAATACCTCTAATCTTCGGCACTTACTTGACACAATTGTGTTGCAGGTGCTGTTAAACTTACTAAAACTAAGAAAACATGTCACAAGAGGGTAACATACAAAGAAAAGATGGAGGAGAAATAAGGACAATAGATTTTCTATAGGAAAGAAGGAGCCAACCACACCAGAGCACTTTCCAACCACCAACTCTTCATGTCAGTTTCTATAGCCTGAATTCTGGTCTGACCTGTATGTTTGTTCCCCCCGCCCCCCACCACCACTACCATCTCACCCTACCCTTCCCCTTCCCCTTACCTTCAGCTCCCACAACTTGCCCAGCTACCGGGCCTGCAGTCAGATGCTGGCCAGTATCTCGGGCTACCAGTACACCCGGCGGGCCTGGAGGAAAGAGGCCTTTGAGATGCTGATGGAGCCCTCCTTCCTCCAGATGGATGTGCGCAGCATCGCCTTCTGGAGGCTCATCATCGACAACCTCATGACCCATGACAAGACCACCTTCAAAGATCTCATGAGTCAGTTGTTTACATCGTTTTTTTCCCCCTCTTCTTGAATTTATGTTTTGGTTGATGCAGGGAAGAAGGGTTTTTTTTCCGTTGGGGGTGGGTATTTTTGTTGTTGTTTGGAGTTTGTTTTATTTTCTTGTTGTTTTTGTTGGGTTTTATTTGGAGGGGGATGTGTGCACTATTTATTTATGGAGAATTTTTTTTTTTTTGAGGGGGGGGGGGGGTGCTGACATCTGTAATCTTTGTTGTTAGGGGATGTTTGGAGAGCGCCACTGGTAGGTCCCTGTTGTACCTGTCTGTCTGTCTTACTTTTTGGATGAGGGGGTTGACAAGCAACCACAAAAGTTGAAACTGGACTTTGCATTATTAAGTGTATCTATTTCTCAGTTACCTACTTCTTTCTCGTTGTTTCTAATTTTAACACAAGTCTATATTGTGCCATTGAGCTGAAACTGACCACGGGTACTCTTGTTGTACTGCCAGGCCGAGTGTCCATCACCCAGACGGGCTCTCTCAACCTGTTCAGCAGCAAGGAGCAAGAGTATGAGCAAAGGTCCCAAATGGTCAAGCGTCTTGCCTTCACCATCTTCTGCAGCGAGACTGACCAGTATCAGAGGGCTATGCCCGACATTCAGGGTGAGGACAAGGGGGAGGCAAAGACTGACGTGCTTCATTTGAATTATTAAAATATGCTTGTCATTGCTGTGAAATCATTCTCTAGACAAAATAATTAATATGAAGAAATGAACATTTTTCCTATCATTGGGCAGTTTTTATTGAATTAGGGGGGGCTCCATGCCTTGTGTGTCCATTTAAAAACACATTTCTGTGAAGATTTTACTGACAAATGTTGATTAAAGGCACAAAGAAATGTAAATTTGCAGTTTGCAAATACACTCAAGCATTGGGAGTTAACCAACCTTTAATGGCCATTTTCTCACTAATTTGACCTGTGACACAAAGTGACTGCCACCTCCTTCTATTGTACATATCTCAACTTCTATTCAAAGTAGATAGGTATTTTTCCATCAAAAGAAAGACAAGTGAACAAACTTTTAAATGATACCAATAACTCCATATACCCTAAATTGACAGGCGCTCGATTCTACTGTGATAACACGTGTCAGAGATTCCAAAATGTCTTGTGTCAAAGATATTGAGAAATAGCTTCTAAGAAATAGCCACAGAAATGTGGTTTTCCTAGAGACAGAAGTGTTTTTGGAACTAAAAGAAATCAAAGGAGTTAATAGTAAGAGAATCTAATGAGGATGGTCTTTGATAAAAAAAATAATAAGTAAGAAACAAATGCAGTTCATAGGACACTTAATTGGCTTAAAGACCTGGGACATCTTGCACTCACTGTAAAAATAGAAAGCAAAAGAGGCAGAAGTAGACAAAGATAACTTACCCACTTACTGAGAAAACTAACTTGATCAAATGGATGACAGGGATAACTTTTTTTTAGACAACCCAGCTGAGAAGTGGTGAACCATGATCACCGAAATTTGTTTCTTGTCTAGCACTTGAAGAAGAAGAAGAAGTTCAAACAAACCCAAAGAGATGCATTGGTGATGATAATAATTTGATGTCATTAGACTTAATACTAAGACTCTGTATAACAGTCTGTGTGTTTCTCTTCCTCAGAGCGTCTAGCAGAGTGCTTGCGCCTGCCCCAGGTTCCCTCTGTGTTATCCCAGGTGTTCCTGTGTTTCCGCGTCCTCATCCTCCGCATGTCCCCGCAACACCTGACCTCCCTGTGGCCCACCATCATCACTGAGATGGTAATAATATAGCTTGTCAGCCAATGTGTGACCAGTGTATCTGCAGAGGAGAATATTCCTGAAGCGCAATAAAAGAAATAAGGATTGAAATGGTTTGGGGCCTCTGCTATTGCCAATGAGATCAATTCTGACAGAGAAGAGTGCGCTACATTTTGTGCGTTTAAAAGCTTCATTTTCACTTGTGGAAGTGTGCAGTTTGCGGGCATCTCTCTTAACATAGAACATTATATGTAATTTTTCTCTACAGGTTGATAGATTCCCTGAGATGGTAAAATGTTCTTGTCTAAATTCTCTTTTAGTTTGTTGTAATCTGGTAGGCAAACACTACTACCATTCTGTCTCTGCATGTCGCCAAATTTGTATTCCCTGCTGGGGCGGCAGAAGGGCAAGAGACAGTGTTTTATGGCAGAAAGGTCCAAGAAGTCATGCCAAATTATTGGGAAAACTAAGATGAAGGTGAACTAAGGAAAGAAAGTCCTTTCAGAGATATTCATGTTACGACTCCGTGAAGCTAGGCTATTGGACTCGCAGCTTTTGAAATTGCAAGCCTTACATCTTACACCGAGTTTTATTTGTGAATTTAATGTATAGGTTGGTGGACATTGTGGGACGGTGTGCTTTTTCCTCTTTTACACTTACCTGCAGCAATAGAATGATCTTTGTTTTCGCCCTAAGAATCTGTTCATGCTCATATCTCATAACTTGTTCTGTAGACTTTATTGAACATAACGCTGTTTAACACGAAATTCCTGTTCCAATGAAAGGATTTTAAATTGCCAGTCTTTCTCTTCTGTTTATTCCATGCATTGCCACTTCCCTTAACAAGAAATCTACATAACATGAAGAAATTCTCTAGTCCCATAAAGTTTGTAATGTCAGGGTTTTACTATATATACCCTCTACTTGTCCTTAATTTGTATCACGTGTCTGCAATGGGAGAAAGAGGGAGAGAGAGACAGAGAGAAAATGCCATGTATATATACTTTTTGTTGCAGAAAGGATACTGTCATTTTTTAAAGTTCTGCATCAATGAAGAAAATCGTATGTTATCTTTAAAAAGTAACATTAATTTTGTTGTCTTACCTGTCAGCAGCTCTGCATATCAACCACAAGTTCGTTTGCTTTTTTTTTTCCAGGTTCAAGTTTTACTTCAAGTGGAACAAGAGCTGTCTACAGAAACGGATGAATTCAAGTAAGTATTTGCTTATCTGGTGGGAGTTTTTTTTTTTGTGTGCACATTTTGCGGCTCTGAATGAACCGTGTTGGGTTTTTCACAGGATTCTCCTTCTGTTGTGAACAGAGCAGGGGGCTTGTAGAGGTGATCTGGATATTCTATTCATAACCTTGTAGATGTTTTTGCCGCATCCTCCTTCGGTGGCTGAGGTCGTCTTCACGTAGACACACATAGCATGCTTCATCGTCACTTCATAAGAATGGTTACCTAGACTTGACTGTTCATTATAAATGATTGAATACTTTATTTAGGTAAATAAAATATTATAACTTTATCAGTCTGCTTGCCAGGTGGTTTGAGGGCGCCATCGGTAGGTCTTAACTTTTTTTTATTCCCTCTGTCTATATATCTTGCTTTGTCGCGGCACTAGATGACCATTATGGAGTCAAGAGGCCTCTGTTTACTCGAACTAAAATTGATTTTGTTTGATGGATTCTTGAAGTGAGATTGATTGAAGGCTGTTGAATTAGGATGAGACAGACAAAAGGTATACAACAGTTGTTTTTACTTTTTCTAACAATGCTCGACTTTTCAGTCCAGGACTATCTGCTTGCTAACACGCACAGATTTTTTAAATTAAAGCCAAGGGCAAAAAGGGGTGATTAACTAAGCCTGATGGCAATTTATCGTCAGTTTCACAACATCATGTTGATTTTTATGTTTATAGCGACAGATAAAATGAGCTATATAAATTTTATGTGGAAATTATTGCATAACAAACCTAGCTGCCCCCCCCCCCAGATGTGAAGCTGGTGATGACTTTTGTGTGAGAGAGTTTTTCTCCGATCAATGCCTCCATTGCCTCATCAGAAGTGGTTGCTCAATAGATGTGTTGTTGTTTTGTCACTCTTTTCCCCTCTCTATCTTGACTATCTTCTTCCGACTTTTTCCCAACCAAATGGGAACAACTACTAGTGGTGTTTTGTAATATTTTATTCTCGTTACACAAACAACAAGGAACAGTAGAGGGTTGACGATAAATGTACAGGGTGATCCCAAAAAATTTTTACAACTAGTTTTGTAAATGTCTTCTTCCATACTGAAGTTTTGCGTTTCAGATTGGAACATAACGTTTGGGAGCCAAAAGGAATTTATCTGATATGTATTTTAGATAAGTCCATTGAATGGTTTTGCTCTATATAGCGCATTAAAAAAAACAACCCATTTTCAACCTTGTCGCCATTTTCATAGCATGGCGCACCAGTTCACATTATGCCTACTACTAAAAGTTGCAACAATCGCGCCATATTGCAAGCTACAGCAGTCTAACAAGTCAACAGAAGTCTGCAGATATTATTTTTCCAAAATTTAGTTTACCTGCTGAGATCATGGCTACGTTTAGTTAAGAGCAGAGAGCTTTTTGTATTGATCATTACCTCTCCACAAACTCACCATTCCTGACTTTTTGTAAGTTCTGCGCACGGCATGGAGAGAATGCTTAGGTACCCTCAAGACTTTTGGCGACATGAGTAGAGAAGTTCCGTCAGTTTGGATCAATAGCGAATGAGAACTAAAAGGTTCTTTAAAAAATGACCACTTCAAGTCGAACACGCACCATACGTAGCCCTTTAAACGTCACCAGAGTGCAGATTTCAGTAGCCTAGTCCCATGAGACGTCTGTCCGTAGTCGATCTGCAGCTAGGACTTTTCTACACATCAACAGTCTGCATTCTCATGGCAGATCTTAACCTACTACTATACCATGTTCATCTTCGCTAGGCCGAGATGACATGGTTCTGAGCATGGCAATGTGTTCATGATTCGTCGATTGTGTTGTAAAGAGGGATCATTTCCTCGATGACATTTGGTTTAATGCAAAGCCCATTTTCACCCTGTGGGATATGTTAACTCCAAAAATGCTGTCTATTGGGCATCCCACTCTATTGTCTCTAGAAGCCACTTCTTAGTGAACATGTACAGTGTATGTGGCTTTAAAAACTCGTGGTTTAGCAGGTCTTTATGTTAGGGCGCCACTGAACATTTCGAGCGACGCGTTCAAAATGTGTCGAGTCCAAAGGAGGGAATGTGGAGCACTGCTTCTAGGAAATTCAGAAAGAAATCATTAGGTTTTTAAAACTCTGTAAAAGAAATTAAATATTGTTTAAATGTCACAGGGATGGAAAATTAATATAAAAAAGAAAATAAAGAAAAGGTCAACTAATCTTTTCACGACTTCCTTTACAAGATTTGTAAACATTGGTGAACTTTGCGTTTTTGGGTGCTTTTTTCTTTTAGCCGTTTCCATTTTCAAAACATGTTTCTTCTTCATGGAGTTTATATCAAACAAATTCCTTTTGAATGAATTATGTCTGTTCCAAATTTCAGCATTCTAGAACAATTTTTGCGCGAGATATTCAGAAAAAAAGTTGTAAAGTCTTTTTTGGATCACCCTGTATATGATTGTTACACTGAAGTCTTGAGTTAATTTGGTCTTTGGTAGATACCAATGGTCACGCATTGAATGAAGAACTTTCAAGTGTAGCAAGCAACCCCTCATAGGTTTCATTTCTTGCTTATTTGTCTGTAGTATCTGTCGATCATCTTGCTTATTTGTTTGCTGTATCTGTCCATCATCCTCTTGCTTGTTCCCTGCACTGTATAGTGATATAATTGAGTTGTGGTGGGATTTTTAGCTCTTAAAACTTAATAAAAATATTAAATAGGAAAATAAATTGAGTTCATTTTCATAAAGAAATTGGAGAAAGTTCAAAAGTATCCTTATTTTCTAAGGTCTGCTTAGGGTTGTGAATAAGTAAGGCAAGCTTTGACTTTAGTAAATTATTTTGATGTAATATCGCAAGAAGTTTTCGTTCAGTATCAAAGGTTTCATTTTTTTATCCCCACCTTGTTCAACCACCTGAGTGATGTGAACTGGGTAGCTGAAGATAGCTTAATAATGATTCTGTTCTCTGGCGATACTCTGCTTATTTTTGTCTTGCTACTGTATTCAAACATCTATCTTTGCTTTCTTCACCTTTGTTATTTGTTGGGGTGTATCACAGTCTTCACCATATCGCTGTGCTTGGTTTTAACTTCTAATTCATGTCCGGCTTTGATGAGGCTTCTTTTCCAGTGGGTTTTTTTAATCTAGTCATTTTTTTTGCACTATCCACACTGGTTTTGGGGGGCTGGGGGCTGTAATTTATTTGCGCAAAATCAAATCTTTTGTCTCTAAAGTTCTTTTTAGCAAAACTTAAACATTTTTTGTCTGAGTAGTTTCTTTTAAACAAAGCTCAAATCAAAAGACCACTGCTACTTTCTTTTCAGGTTTTAAAAAGACTTTTTGATTGTTCTTATTGCATATTTAGTGCTGGCATTTGCGATGTAATGGTGAGCCTCTTTGCCATTGCATGCAGAAAATGTGAGGTTGAGTACCTCTTGGGGAAGTTTTTTCTTGGAATATCTTCATCTGTCAGCTGAGATGTTGTATATCTCACTTTTGCCTGGGTTGGCCCGAACAGACTGGGTTGCAGCAACCCAACTCCCAAATAGTGTAAATTGTGCCGGTGGGGGCATAAAACATGAAATCAGTCATTACAATCGTATTTAACCTACAAATAGCATTTTGAAAATCTGAGAAACCTTGTCTCGCTTTCGGTTGGCAGGAATGTCATGTTTCATTAATGCCATTGTTCCTTAAGTTTCAAACGTCGTCGATGGGGGAAAAGGTAAGAGGCAGCTGTTTGTTTCTTCTCTCTTGTCACTTCACTTACCATCAGGTGTTCCACAGATGTGCTCTGAACTAGCTAACATTTTGTACACCGTTTGACAGAAGTAGATTTATAAGAAATAATGTGATAATGTTGTGTACACTTTGCCATTTAAGTAAATGTACGATGTTTACGTTCTTTCTTTACTATATTTAGAGAAGGATATTCGTATTGATACATTTGTCGCTTAATGGAAATTCTATCGCAGTGTATAATTATAAAAAGCTTATGCAGTGAATGACGTTTGGGGCTTTGAGTTCACATTTTCAATTTTGCTTTTGTCTTGTTGTTTCAACCTAAAGCAGGTGTCTGAAGAAGTGGTGAGGGAGCCATTGTATGGTTTTTGTCTTCTTCTCTAGTTCAGTTCTGGCTTCACAATGCTATGCTTTGCCAGGCTAACCCGGAGAGACAAATGTCTTCACGTTTTTTAATAAAGCTCTAGATTTTTAGTTGTGTGGATTAACATCTCACTTACCATCCTGTGGTAATACTTATACTACTCTTGACCTCCTGTTTTTGTTGATGTTGTTGTTGTTGCTCTGATGCTGCCCTGACTAACTGTCTGAGAGTGTGGATCATTGCACTGCTATTTTCCTTAAAGGGCTTGTCTGGATCAGGAACAAGGCACAATTTGTATGAATTAGGTTGTTCTTTTGTTTGTGTATGTTTTCCCCTAAGAATGCTGTTTTAATTTTTACAGAGTCTGTTTAGAATTGATAGTTTCTGAGCACTTAACATTTTCCACTCTTTTGTTCTTTGCACAAGCTAAACTTTAATGGGTATGCCAGGTTAATTATGAAGGAAAGTCAGTTCTGTTTTGGAGAAAATCAGCTAACAGAAAATCCAGCTGGTGCTCTTACTTTTGCAGATGAAGTAAATGAATAAAGGTTTGCTGTTTGGGAAAAGAAATAATAGTTTGCTGAAGACATCATTAATAAAAGCTTACTAATGGGATCATTGAATAAAAACAGAAGCTTGAAAAAGTAGAAAGAAGTCATTTGCCACATTTGATTAGGCTCTACTAGTTCTCTTTGCATAATTGAAACAGGCAGCTGTTGCAATGTTTGTATTGAGGACTATCAAATATTTTCCTTTCATGCTTTTATTTCTTATTGACGCTGTATGTAATGGATAAAATACTTACTGATAACTGCTCACAGTATTTTGTTTTTTGAAAGCTTTTCATGGAGTTTGGCCTGAAATCATCAGCCTTGCTGTTTTATGTACTTGACATGAAAAGAATTTTTTATATATTTTGGACAGATTTCAGTTTATAGTAATGAAACTTCCCTCAAAAAAGACTAGACATTGTGATTTGTGGGAAAGATTTCCATAACAAACCTGTTTGGGGTGTGCAGAGTGCAGCCTTTCCCTCTCTCTGTCTCCCTGTCTGTATGTGTGTGTCTCACTCTCTCCCTCACCCTTTCTCCCCTCTCTGTGTATTTTTGTGTATCTCTCTCTCTCTCTCTCTCTCTCTCTCTCTCTCTCTCTCTCTCTCTCTCTCTCTCTTATCTGTCTGTCTGTCTGTCTGTCTGTCTGTCGGTCTGTCTGTCTGTCTGTCTCTCTCTCTCTCTTCTCTCTTATCTGTCTGTCTGTCTGTCTGTCTGTCTGTCTGTCTGTCTGTCTGTCTGTCTGTCTGTCTGTCTGTCTGCCTCTCTCTCTCTCTCTCTCTCTCTCTCTCTTTCTCTCTCTCTTTCTCTCTCTCTCTTTCTCTCTCTCTCTTTCTCTCTCTCTCTTTCTCTCTCTCTCTCTGTGTTTGTGTGTGTGGTTGTTTTCCTATGTTTGTAGGCCTACATGTGTGACTGGGAGATAGGCATGCTGATGTTTCAGTGTATTATCTGTCCTTATCCTGTTATTTACTCACTGACAACATTACAGCGAGTATCTCCGGACACGAACCAGGTAGCTATATCTACTGTTTGTTCTTCATCATGTGTGGGCCCTTTCATTTACAAGAACAGTGTGGTTTTGTTTTTGTTTTCTTTTCTTTTTTGGTGTTTTTTTAGCTTGTTTTGTTTCTGTTTTATGGTTGTTATAAGCATTCTTGTAGCTTATTCAAGAGTTGTGTGGAGGATAGTTGGAAAGGAGTTCTGGAAAATATTGTTAGTACTGTCTTTGATGTGATAGGTGTAGTGATAATGAAGGTAGAATGTAGCTGTGTGGAAGCGTTGGTAGACGTCTAGATGTTTGTTTTTCTAAAGGTATTATTGACTTTCCTGGTCAGTCAGCGAATGGAATGGGTGAAAGAAATGCCTGGTTGTGATGACTTTTTTTGTACCTGGAATAAAATCAATGCCGTATATTTTTAAAGTATTACCTCAATTATAATTCATTCTTCGTAAGATCTAGTATTCAAAGAACAACTTTCTTACCAAAGTGTCTTTAGCATTTCATGGCCATCAGACAGAATTAAATGTAAAATTATGAGAACATTTGAATCTTATGATTATATCTGATGTAGAAAAAGGAGGAATTTAATGACTTAAACATGTGTCATTTGATCTGGTATTCAAAGGACACCTGCCATACAAAGGGTTTTTAGTATTTCACAGTGGTATGTTTGAAAGAGTTCAGTTGGTTTAAGTCTTACTTTAGCTCACACGATTCCCCCTCTTTGGGGTCTTTGTCCGTCTGTTTAAATGTCCCTTTTCTCAAAGAATTCACAACATTCCAAGACAAGATCCGATTAAATTTATAGAGATGTTGAATCTAGGTCTTTTTTTTTTCCTTCTGTAAGTTATATCTGTGGTCACGTATTATGTTATTTCCATTTTTATTTCAATTTTGGGGCAATCGTTTTTGATTCCTTAGTTCTATAAGGATTTGGATGTCCCTTTTGAGTTATTTCATACATTTGTTGGGCTAATTTGGTAATTTCATTTGTCGGTTTTTCTTTTGACGTCTTTTGTTGAGCTGTTGGAAATTGTTGCATGGTTATGGAACTCAGTCAGTTTTCTGACCTAATGTACACTTAAATAGTTGTGTTGCTCCGTGAAAAAAATAGTTTCAGTGCATTTATGTTGATGTGGCTTTGACAAGTTTTTGGGATTATTTTGACATCATTTGTTTTGTTTATCAGAGTCTCAGAGTTTTATGTCCTGTCTAAATAGCAGACCCTTCAGTTATGTTTTGTATATGTTTGTGTTATTCTTAAAGTGTTTATGGTCAGTTACGGCAACATGTTTTTGACCAGAGAGTACAGTCCATGGATGGTTTTCATATTCGTCATATTATTCTATTTCTTCTATTACTTTTTTTTAAAAAACCATTTCTATTTGTTTTAGGGAAATAGGTCAATTTTGTATTTGTACCGGTGCCTTCATCATCTAATAATTATAGATTATCTGAAGCATGCTCCAGTTGTTGTCAAACTAACAGTCGCATTTGTCTGTTGATCCCTTTATTTCCCCTGTATGTGTACAGCTGTCTGTACTGATTGCTTGTAGGATGTACATAATGCTTCAAGTAACTATTTTCTTCCAAGACATTTTTGCTAGATGCATGTACCTATTGGCATGCCAGTAACTAGAATAATTTTTGTAGCATTTCCTGGCCAAGCTCACTGCACTTCTAACAATCTCAGCAGTGGTGATTCTGTTACTATCATTGTGCCAAAACACTGAGCTTCGGTGTAGAGCTCTACTTCTCTGTGTTGAGTCTGGTCTTCAGGTTGTACATTTTTTTTCTTCAAATTACAACTTCCAAGTTAAAAAGAATTCCCACACTACTTTTAACAGACAGGGTGAAAGAAGAAACGAATAAGATGACACTGACGTAACACTTAATGCACCAAAGAAAAAAAAATTAGCTTTGTCAGCAGTCTGCTGCATAAGATCAGGAATGAGTTTATTTTCCTCACCGGAAATGTTTCTTACTACTGCTGACATGGCAGTTACTGACAAGAACATTTGCCACAACATACAGAGTAGATGTACCTGTGACAGTGGCCTTTCTATTTCTTTCCAGCTCACCTTTTGTTTCTCTCTCTCTCTCATTCTCATTCTCACCCCCCCCCCAACCCACGCCACCCCCAATATCTATCTTTAGTTATTCCCAGCTTTAAAGGACTGTTATTGCATTGATATGCTTCTCTTTACTCAAGCTAAGTCACTGAATCTTCTGTCCTCTGAGATACACACGTGCACTTGTGTTCACACACACACACACACACACACACACACACACACACACACACACACACACACACACACACACACACACACACACACACACACACACACTCACAGGAAGTGTACATACACACATGGACAAATACTTTTCACCTAAGTTGCACAGGGTTTATGGTCTTTGACTTGAGTAGAACACAAAGCAGACTCATTTTCCTCCCAGATTCCTGCAACCCCTCTTTCCTCTCTAATGAGGACACTTTTGGCATAATCTGTACATGTACAGTGGAGTCCCCTTATGTCGAAATATGCGGGACTACGGGTTTTAATATCAAGGCCCCAAGATCTGGAATGCTTTTCCGAGTAGTTTAAAAGAGATCGAATCCTTTAATTCGTTCAAATATCAGCTTAAGTCGTTTCTGTTTTTAAATGGATGAGATTAATATTTAGAGAGATTTTCTTTTGGTCAGAACATAATTTACTGATTATATGTTACTGTTGTATAGTAAAGCGCTTAGAGCCTGTGTACTCTAATCGGGGTTAAGTACTATATATATATAAATGCCATATATCATTATTAGTAGCAGTATAATTGTTATTAGTATTTTTAGTTTTGCTGGGATTTGGGTTTAGAGATATTGCTCAAATAGAAGAACAAAAAGGGGGATTTTCTTTTCTTTTAGTTTGCCGCTGTTTTTGGATTCCCTGTGCTCAGTTTGTGTAGACTCTACTTTACATCATACTTTTAATCATATTCAGGTGTGTATGATCACACTGGCTTCAGTTCTGTGTCGTCTGGCCTTTTCACACGCTTGCTTCTAACCACAGGAAGAGTACACAGTGAAAGAAAGTAAAAAGATGGGGAAGAAAGAGGGGGTGGAGGCGGGGGTGGTAATTGAAACCTTTGGCCCACTCATTACTAACATGTTTCCATGCAAAAAAAACAACTGTTCGTTCTTTTCATCTTGACATCAGCCGTTGTTTGGTTATGGATTCGATTAACACAGAGACTTGTTATTGGTGGATGTTTGAACATAGGAGTTCTGAAGTTCACCTCCTAAATGATCTGAATGGTGTCAGTGGGGATGTAAATCATTAACAATCAAGAGGCCAGAAATGCACACTGTTCTCTCTGACCAGCATTCGTCTTTAAAAAAGGGAAGGGAAAGCTAGCTTGCACAATAAATGTTGTGGTTGATATTATGTGGAGAAGTATTTATTTCAAGAGTAGAGTGCTGCTTTGAAAGTTTGTAAATAAACTGCTCATAAGACAGATATTGTTGGGAGTGAGGAGATGTAATCATGACGAGGTGTATTGTGCATTTTAAGATCTAAGAGACAAAGAGCTATAGCTACATTCAGAGATGACTTTTTATACAACTTTTGTCTATCTCAAGATTTAAAATTGAATTATTTTGGCATGGCTGAAAGTTGAAATGCAAAAGAAAGAGAAGAAAATAAGTAAGATGTCTTTGTTTCCGAGTCTTTTCTACAGGTTCAATTCATGCCTTTCAGTCTGTTGTTGCAGTGAGAGTGTACATTGTCACAGTTTTCTGTGGCTGGTAGTGCTATAAGTTGATGTTAATGCCATGGTTTTGCTGTGTACACTAATTTTTTTTTTCAGACTAGATTTCTAGATTTCTTGCATGATTTTTTTCCTCTTGTGTTGTTTCATTCTTTGAGTAAATGAGTAAAAATTTTCTTAAGTTTTTAAATATACCTTATAAGTTCTCTTTTGTGAAGTTTAAAATTTTCAGAATGAGTACTCGATGCATAAACTGACTGACACTATACTGTTTTGTGTGGGTGGTCACAGATGAAGTTAGAAATCAGCACCCAGAAAGAGTTTAAGAACTATCGTGTTGAGTTGTGAAACAAATATGTTGCTATGAAAAGTTCGAATACATTTTTTTTTGCCTGTTCAGCAAAATAACAAAACAAAAAAGATTGCTTAAGTCAGGGTGTGTTTGTTCAAGTGCGTGCATGCCTGTGTGTGCAGGCACTTTTCCAGGTACGACATGCTATTTACATTTTTTGCACCACAGACATCATAATTTTGCCTGCAAACTATTCTGAAAATAACGGTCCCTCATTGAAGTGCTGAAAAAGTAATAGAAGGGATTTTCCATGGTTATGCATTATCCCCTCCAGTTGAAGACTATGACAACTTCACTATAACACTATCATTATGGACACTGTTTCGCGTTTAGCGCCTGTGAAATCATGCTACGTTTGCATGCCATGCGCTAAATGACAGCTCTGTGAGCTGTTTAGAAAATGGTGAAACACTTCTGACTTTTATTGGTCACTGTGTGAAATCTGGTTTACAGTTGCTAGTAATATAAGTTCAAACAATATTTCAGTCACACTATAGGCAATATCACACCAACACAGACTATCTTACACACACACACACACACACACACACACACACACACACACACACACACACATGATTACTGGTCACCACTGCGCAGCACCTTGTTTTTGAGCTAGGGTTGTTGTGTCCTGATCCACAAAGACATGCTTCAGTGACCATCCACCTGAATGCTGTTTCACCGCCATTTGCTTGACATTATTATCAGCCACAGCTCATGAACCACATGGCCACTGGAGACCCTGTGATGCTGCTTTGCCCTTGCACCATAACCTTTTTCGTGGATACTGGTATTTTTATGTGATGTCACCGTGTTTCCTTGACATTGCTTGGATGAAAGCACCTGAGACACCCACCTTGCCTGCGAGCTGTTAAGAGGATGATAATGGCCATTGTTATACATGCTGTAACTTTATTTAGACACACAAGCTGCTGTGAAATTATAACGATGTATGAACATTTATAAGCTCACATAGTCAATCCCACACTTTGCCAGTGCTCTAATTTTGGTATGGGAATCATCATTTGGGGCCATCCCCTCTGACATGAATGAATTTGATTTCACTATTAATGGTAGAATAATACGGAGATTAGGATATTGGCAATGTGTGAGATAGGATATGTGTGCTTATAAGGGCCTATATACGTACATTACTTAAGTGCTGCACTTCTGATGCTCACACTTTCTTATGCGATGTTGAGAATGGCCATAACGTACACTATAAGGAATGGGCATTCGTATGTTTTTTATATGAATATGTTATATATTTTACAACTCCACTGGAATGCTAGCACCAGTTTTCCAACAGTAACTTTTCTCAGGGTTTTCCTTTGAGTTTGGCCATGAATGAATGAATATTTCCATCTTTCTTTGAATTCTTTTACCGTTTTTATTGTGGCTTTCATTGTGGCATGAATCTACACAAAAGGAAAATGCAAGAGAAATTTAAATGTCATTTGCAGTTTTACTTTTTAAACATTTTTGTCATGAGATAAGTGTAAGCCGAAGCTGATGGAAAGTTAATGGTGCCATCTTGTGGTTTCTTCTACTGTCCAAGGCATAATAATAATTCCCTGTCTTGAGTGTAAATTTTTTATTTAATGAGAGAGATAAAAAAAATCAATCATTTGGTAAACTTGTAAGTGAGAATGAGACCAAGATCTAGTGAGCTGGCTCATTATCCCAAAGAGATTAAAAGAGAATAGTTTTTTTTTATCTCTTTGTTAAAATATGTGTGATACCATGGTGGAAACAGGTGCTCATCAAAATAAGGGAATAGAAAAAAATCAACATTTCTCTGCCTGTTGTTCAGTTTTTATCGTTTTAAAGTTTTTTTGGGGGGACTTAACACCTTTTGTGTCCTTTTGAAACATTTCTGTGTGGATTTTATCAAGCAACATTCATGAAAAGCACAAAAAATGTTAACTTGCAGTTTCCAAGGTCAAGGACACTCAAGTTTTTGAAGTCACCAAACTTTGGTGGCCATTTTCTCGCTGATTTTACTTGTGACACCAGGTGACTGGCACCTCCCCCAGTTGCAATTTTCTTGACTTCTGTTCAAGAAAGATGGGTATTTTTTTTCCATCAAATTGTCAAATTCAAGACAGAAGAAAAAGCTTTAAGTTTATACCAATAACTCCATATGCCTAAAAATTGACGAGCGCTTGATTCCGCTGTGTAACGACACATATGTTCTGTTGCATCAGTTTGTATCTTTCCATCCCTTCCAGGACACAGATTCAAAGAATCGCTGCCTTGGACTCTAGCTGGGCCCACCTTGGCAACGGTCTGAACGCCCACAACAACCCGGCCTGGCTACAGCTCTACCTCAGCGTCTGCAAGCTTCTGGACATGTGTCTGGTCATGCCTGCTGACCTTGTGCCTCAGTTTCAACTGTGAGTTTGTGTTCTCTGTCTTCATTTCCCTGCCTCTTCTCTTCCTTTCGCTAGACTGTTTGCTCTTTGATGAGGTTGTAAAGCTAGTTGGGGAGTGAAGAGGTTCACTATTACAGAACTGGGCTATTTTCAGTCCAAACTTCCCTCTAGCCCAGATAATACTGGAGTCCTTGACTCCTCAGGGCCAGTTAGTACTGATGGTGCCTGTAATCTTTTCACAGACATTTTTAAAAATTCCTATACTGCTTGTGTTTGAAGTTTTTTAATATAACACCAAGCATGTTTTTCAAAATCATTTGGATAGATTACAATAAAAACACCTGACTTAGTTTGGGGGAAATACATGTATATGTGAATGGGCCCTGGGGGAAGATAACTTGTAAGGGAAATATACGTGACTGGGGCTATAAGTGTTATAATAACCTTAGTTCACCGGGCTGCAAATGGTGACATTGCATTTTGCCTGAATGAAAGAGTGTTAGTGGCAGCATGTAAGCGTCTGTGTTCATGGCTTATCGTATGTCCAGTGGAAGACTGAGATAGCAGATTAGAATAAAATGGCCGACCAAGGGAATTTTTATAGATCTGATGAGCCTACACAAAATGGTGGGTGGGTGTTCCCCTCTAGCTGGTCCCCTTTCTTTTATTTTCTGTCTGCTGTTCCTCTCTTTGTGTCTTGCTTTTTCCTGGCTCTAAGTGAATGTTAAAGTGTTGATATGCGTCAACTTACCGTACTCAAACACAAGAAGGTGCAAGATTCAACAAGATTTCAACAAATATCTCTTATGAAACTGTTCAATTTAAGGTATCCTTAGGCATTAACTAATGGGGCTTGGTGCAATGTACAATTTCTTTTACACTCCGTTTGGGTGGCGGAATGGTTAGTGAGTTCAGGCTCACAAAATTAGGATAACAACCCCCCCTCTTCCGTTCCCGAGCTGCTTCACCCCAGAGCACAACATTTGTGGTCAGTCTCCATGAGGGTCACAGTGGAGTTGCAGTTATGTTTGTACGGAACAGGTTACAATGTGCCGTGATCGTCATGTTGGTCAAAGATATATATATGGTGTTAAACGTTACTTTTAGTCCTGTCTTTTTCTTTTTCCCTCAGATATCGCTGGGCTTTCATCGGCACTGCGGGAGAGGAAGACTACCACACGGTTGACCCTGGAGATGACCCATCCTGGCGACCCAACCCTCTGTTCACCCCGCACATTATCCGTCTCTCTCAGCTCATCAACAACAAAGTGAGTTTTTGTAGCTCTTAGGTTGCACCGTTAGCTTAGTTGGTATCATACCTGTTTATGGTATGAATGACCATAGTTCGAATACCCATTGGGGCATTCTTGGACTCTGGTCGTGTGGCGAGTTTTCAAGGCCCTCTCCTCCCACTTGGCTCAGTATTATTGGAGATGAATGTTAGATTTGGGACTCCTACCGCTTAATTAAGAAGCATTGGAGAATATTGTAACAACAGGCAAGTTTGATGTAAAGAGAGGCAGAGGCAGACAGGGGGAAAAGATACTAGCAAGAACAACAGACACCATTGTTGCAACGCAAGACAGAGTGAAGTGGAAGTCCATGATCGCCCACACCAGTCGGCAAGGCACCAGATGATGATGACCGCTTAATTAACGTTGTCATGCTGGAAGATGCTTTAACCCATATAATATTCATCATTTATCTTGCTGACTCAAATCTGTCTCGGTTGGGGATACAATGTGTTGTGTGTTTATAACACACGGTCGACTGCCTTTGAGATCCAGAAGGAGCTGCAAAGAAAAAAAGAATATTTGGCTAAAAGCTCTCACAACGGTAGTTGAAAACCAGGGGCTGTCCAATGGTGGCCAGCTATGAATTGTTAGTGAGGCTGTCTGTGTAGTAGATGTGATAATATTGTGTATTATGTGATGATGAATTATTGTATGTTTGTGTTGTGCTTGTGATTGTGAACCAAATTTAGCTATTGTCTATGTTAATGTGTCATTGTATATTATGTGGGGATGTATTAATAATACATAATAACAAATAGCATTTGCCTAATGCTAATTTCTGTTCAACATTAAGCTGTATGTGCTTTACAACCTGTATTATTATTACTCCAGCAGATCTGATAGCATTCTTAAACAATCTCAACTTCCTGGGAAGCATATATTGCATTATTGTATGTACATATTTATTGCCATTGTAAAGCAAATTTGTTGGTAGTTGGAGGGTGCTCTGGTGTGGTTTGCTCCTTCTTTCCTATCGAATGTCTATCATCCTTTTCTCTCCTCCTTTTTTGTGTTTGTTACTCACTTGTAACACCTCTAATCTTTGGCACTTATATGACTTTATTGTGTTACAAGTGCCGTAAAACTCTTACTAAAACGAAAACTCTAATCTTTGGCACTTATGTGACCTTATTGTGTTGCAAATGCCATAGAACTCATACTAAAACTAAACTAAAAGCAAATTTCTCTGTGGTGGTCTGCAGTATGTTTTAAAAATATTGTTTTATCACACACAGCTGAAGAAACCTGCCTCATTACTGAAGTCAGAACCCGGCCGGCCCCTATTGACCCTGCATCGGCTCCGATCCCTGGCTGAGCTACAGTCATTCTTCCACACAGTGTGCCACATCACCGAGCACGGTAGTCAGGGTACCTCAATGACAGCCCCAAGGTCGGACCGTAAAGTCAAGGCCACTTTGAGTTCAGGGGCGGCAGCGGCGGCGGCAAGTTCTCGTGCAGCGGCCGAGGGAGGGGACGAGGAGCGTGTGGCGGCCATGTCGGACCGCGAGTACATCGAGCACCTTCTGGAGATCGACTTTCTCGAGCCTTTCAACTGATCTCTCACGTCTCGACATTTGGAACGACTTTCACCCTCATGATGACACTCATGTTTGAGACTGACCTTCACCTTGATGATGACAGTCGCCTTCTCACTTCCTGGAGCCTTTCAACTCGGTCTTCTCGTCACGTTGGGGACAACCTTCACCTTTTTACTTCCCGTATAGCCTTTAGACTGATCCCCTCCCTCTCTTTTGGGACGACCTTCCCCTTCATAACAGCAATGGTCATCACCATCTGCCATGAAGACTCACTTACATTATGTTGACCTTCACCCTTGAGCTGAGCTCAGTTTGTCATGCTGAGAGGAGAAAACACGCCATCGGGGTAAATAGAATCCACCTACCCGCCCGCCCGCCTGATTGCTCGCTCCTTCAAGGGAAGGGAGACCAGATTTTCATCATGCCACGGCGGGTGAAATGGTGAGGGGCCTTTTTCCGTTGTGTGTAGGCCAGCTTGGGATCAAGAAGAGTGAAAACATTGATGCGGGTGTAAACGTGCAGCGTAATGTCATGTATGTGGAGTTAACAGAAAAGTCTGGAATTTCCTCGGACGACTGATCCTTCATTACAGTATCGCTTTGTCTGGTGTTGGACAGACGTGCAGTGCCATTGTTGATTTGTGCTTCAGTTTGAGTGTTTCACTGTGTCAGGCCTTGTGTGCTGACTTGGTTTTTCATGTGATGACAAACTGTCGACTTAGCTTGGAGACTTGACTGTCTATGTAGGAGATATCGCTGTCTGTGTGTCTGAGACTGAGAGAATGCTGCTCTCTGTTGATTGAATGTTAACGTTTGTTATGTTTCAAGATGCAGCAGATAAGCACAGCAAATACGGATGTTTCTCTGTTGAAGCTGGCCATCCTTGATTACCTCAGCTACTGCTTTCATTTCCTGAAAATGCAAGGTTTGAAGGTCATTGGTTGCTATGGCAACTGTTCATCTGTTGGAGAACTACACCCTGACAACCCCCCCACCCACACACTTACCCTGTCAGCTTGTTGTGGCTTGTTGCCATGATGGCTTCTCTGAAAACTTCCAACACTAACACTACCAAAGACTTGTGATAACCTCCCCAGACTTTTGAGCCATGAAAGTTTGATTTTTTTTTTCTTTTGTACACCGATTTAGCTCAAGTCAGGATTCCTGTTACATGGTAATAGATGTTTTGATCAAAATGATCAATGACTCTTTTTATTACTTTTTAAAAAGAAAACAATATATATATATGTGGTTGGAGAGGCTTGTTGGCCTGACTCACTTTGCTGTGTGGCCATCTAAAAAGGAAAAGATTTGTCATGTAGTGCGGACTACACCAAGAGACCAAAGTTCCAGCTTGAAGGAGGTTCACTTCAGGATAAGTGCTTGCTTTGGGATTTGAGGTTTGTTTATTTGGAAGTAAGATAAGCAAGTCCTGTAGTTCAGAATTAGACAGACTGTTAATAATAAATAGCTTCATATGAAAATTACTGTTATAATTGTTTTTAATGCGAAGGGGTACTAAATGTTTATGTATTATTTACAGTCATTTTTATCTGAAAAATGTTGTACTCTATCATGAAGTACAAGTGTCATCGTCATCATTGTAAGAAAAGTGAGTGAATCCCATTGTCTTAATGTATCGTGTAAAACGAGGTTAAACAGATACACTTCTTTGTGGCTACAGCAATGACACATATATATGTCTACTAGTCCTGTGACCTGCTCTTCTCTGATTCCTGTCAGCCACGAGCAATATCTCTGCCGATGCTCCAAGCCATATGTCTCTCGTCATGTTTTCAAATTCCTGTCAGTGAAGTCCTGTGCTGCATCTCCAAGCTGTTTTTCATGTTCAGAAAGAGCTACTGCAAATTTGATATGAATTTTTGCTGTTTAATTTCGCACAAGATTTATGTGTATAATGATGATGTCTGGTCTCTTTAATTAAGTTTTTAAATTATCAAGTGCATTGTAAAGAGTATTTTCAAAAATTGTATACAATTACAAGACGAACATGTTCTTGGAATCAGTTATCTAATCAGATTATACAATTTGATGGAGGTTGGCAAGCTCTGCTTGATGATATGAAAAATATGTCAGAGTGTCCATAGTGTGTCTTTTGCTCCTTGTGAAAGCTTTAACATGTTCTTTGAGAGTGGGGGTTGAACAAAGGACATGTCTTGTAAGACGAAATGTAACCACGGGATGGAGGAAGGGGTTTGGATTTTGACCTATGTCGAGCATGTGTCAGATCAAACATAAGTATTGTATAACAGACATTCAGAGAGTCAAATTGAGGCCTCATTTGTTATCTTTTTCATATTATATCTGAGTTTGTGCATTTGAATATATGATATTCCTTTGGCCTTGAATTTAATGTGATTAGAAACTATATTGACAGAATATGTGTGAGTTGGCACTGCTTGGGTATGGGGGATTGTGATATGTGTGATATGCTTATAAATATTTAATCATTTGTCCATAATTATATGTGAAGAGCTTTAAGTGGCCAAAAAGATCTGGTTGACTTGGAAGTTATTTTTTAAGAGGGGGGTTGGTTTAAGGTGGGGGGTTTTTCTTTTGCAAGTCAGCAAAACAGGATGTCTTTTGTCTCTGTAATGTGATGTTAGACTCTTCTCTGTTGCACATAAAAGCATTTCTTCGATTCCCACATTGGGAGTTCTTTTTAATCGATATCTGTCTGTTAACTGGGGTATGCTGTGTTCTTCTCAGCTTGGGTTAGCCTTGACAGGCAAGGTCAAAGCAACCTGCGTTGTAAATGGTCTTAATTGTGTTGGTGGGCGCCCATATTATGTACATACCGATAGAAAGCTACTGTGGTTGAATTCCAGTGAGCAGTATTCTAAAGGATCTGTGCAATATTGAGCTGAGTCTATCACTTGAAATGAAAGTGCTATTGGTATAAGTCATTATGAAATGGTTAATGTCAATACAGCAGTTATTCTTGGTGATGATAAGGGAAAGAATTCTTGTGTCGATGCTGGTCATTTTGTCTATAGTCATATGAAAGTACTATTAATACAAGTTTTGTAGTAGTATAGTTTGCGTAGTGTGCTTGATTAGTTTTATAGTTGAACCACGTCCGAATTCTATGTGTGCTACCTTCGTTACTAATGTAGTGTTGGGGAGGTTGATGGGTTTCAGGAAGCGGTCATATTTGTGGGTAGGGCTGATGTTTTACAGATGAGGGGTTATGGCTTTTGGGTAGGTATGATGTTTTGTAGGTAGAGCTAATGGTTGATAATTATGGGTGATTTTTTGTTTGTTTGTGGGTAGAGGTGATGTTATATGGATATGGGTGATGTTTTTTGGGTAGGGGTGATTTTTTTGTGGGTTGAGGGGATATTATTAAGTAAGAAAAGCTGATACTCACTGATAGTTTTTGAGTAGAGGTGACCCTGATCCTATATGGACTGATCAGTGTATGGACAACATATAAAAGAACCAGAGTGTCTGAGGTTGCGGTATGCAATTTCACTAGTGAGTAATGCAATGTTAGAGACATTCTTCTTTGCCTTAAACATTACTTCATTTTAATATCAAATTTTTAAGAATTGTTTCATTTCTTTTTTTTCTTTGTGTTAAATTTCATCCATTCCAGATGTTACTGCTGTCATATTTAATTACGATGTAAGGATTCATTTTGTTCCAATTCATTATAATGGTTTTTGTTTTTGTTCTCTGAATACGCCATTTTCTCTTGATGAGTTTGTTATTGTAAATTGTCCTAGTCTTGTTGATTAACGATCGTTTCTGTCACTGATGGAGAGAACTGGATCTGACTTACACTCTGGGTATCCTAGAACCTTCTTGGGTGTTCTCAGAGCAGCCCCCAAATGTGCTGATTGGACAGACTTGAGGCTGTTATATCAGTAATGTAATATATAGCAGTTCCCACACACTTGCACGATTTAACTAGAAGGAAAGAGGAAGATTCAACCTTCTATGTGGTCCTGCCGGAAGGATCTCCAACCAGATTCTACTTTGAACTATAAACAGATGGACTTAAAGGTGGATACTAAGGTGAAGGAGGGGAGCAGCTATGGATATGCGCCGTCTGCGATCTTCCCAACCTAGTAGACAAATAGACTATATATATATATATATATAGAGAGAGAGAGAGAGAGAGAGAGATATATTAGTAGTAATAAACCTATGATGGTTCGGGGAACCTTAGTGTTAGGGTGCTGTTAGCACACTAATGATACTGAGACTAAATGTGACTTGCCAAATTTTAGTCGTACTAAGGGAGGACAATAAAATGTAAAGATTTATTGCTATTTCTCTTTGTAATATTTATTGCTTCTTCTCTTGCGTTTTCAGATTTTATTCTATTATATTTGCATTTTGATGAAGTTGTCCAATTTGTGTTCTGGATGTGGGATAACTAATACATACTTAATGTAATATTGATATATGATTATCTTTTCCGTTCAATTTTTACATTTTGTTGTGGTAATGTATCTGTTGTCTACTTTGACTTTTTGTTTGCATTGTACCGTATCAACAACAGGGCCCAAGAGTGATCTGACACTGTGATTTACATTGCTACATATGGTGGCTTATAAGCACAAGGGGGCTATCAGGAAAAAGGTGTTTTGAGAAAATCAAAGGGGTAAAGCTTTTGGGTCCTTATTCAGTTTCTTTAAAAGACAAGGATAGTTTTCTCTATAACCAAACAAATACACACACCAATGAAACCAAACTTCTCCTATAGGTAAGGCAATGCCCGCTTTTGGTGGAGATCAAGGTTTCTTGAAACTCCCAAAATCTGGGTTAGCCTGCTTGTCCTTAAAAGCAACCATATATACATATATATATGAATATTTATGCAAGTATATTATGGACTGCGCAGTGTAAGACTGCGCCATACGCCCTTTTAAAAAGTGATGTATGTTGGAGTCTTACACTGAGCAGTCTGTGTATTGCTTTCATCTTGTATTTATTTTTTATCTTTGTTTTGTTCATACAATAATCTCCAGTTGACATCCCACCTTATAATATCCACTGGGATTACTTAAGTTTCAGGTTTTTCTCTATACACCAAATCTTTACTGTATAGGAAGAGTATGGATACATGTATGTGTCAAGTTGTCTCGTCCTTGGGCTGTCTGGATATTCTGCCTTATCTCCTACTCTTCCCCCCCCCCCCTCAAACATTTTGTGCATTACATCATTAATAGCTGCCAACCAGTGCATAAAAAATGTATAAATTAGTACATTTTTTAGGGTCTGAGTATGGAAGTCCATTTTTGTGTTTTAAAAATACTTACTCTCTGTTTTCTAGTATATCTCCCTATGGACTTGTTGAAGCTGAAGGATAAATTATGAACTTTCTTGACCAGATTTGTGCGAATAGTAAGGAGAATGAAGCCCATATATGTCAATGGGAGAGGTCTTTTGCTGCAGGTCTGCTCTGAATAGCTTGAATTTATTGAATGCAGAAAAGTGTGTGGAGGGTTTTAGAGGGAGAGTTCTTGGCCAATGCACGCCATCTTGACCCACCACTTGGGTTGACTTTGATTTTTGATTCTGAGAAGTTGGCAGCTATGCATCATTACATCCTGCTTATCACACTTTGCTGTGCAGTTGGTCGAAGGGTTTCAGTGATGGTTTCTACTTCTTTCCTTTCCCCCTGTTGTGTCTGTGTGTTCTGCTTTTTGCTTGCGCTAATTGACTGATAGTATGTCGATGTGCTTCATCCGATCTTTACAGGCACCAAGATCTTAAAAGGAAACTGCTGTATCTCCGTTTTGATTTACTGTATATCATCGTGTATAGATGTCACATGCACGAATAAGACACAGATAGATATAAAAAATGTTGGTAAAACCTTATATACATGTCCATCGGATAAGATTTGCCAATGTTTTCATGGCAAGCTCCATCATCTTTGTTAGTGCGGGTTTTATCCATTGATAATCACACTTTGAATTCAAAGCAAAACAAATCAGGTCTTAGGTCTAGATCTACAGTGCAACAAAGAGCAGAAATTTTGTTTCTTAATGATGATGTTCAGATTTAATCTCTTTGTTCAGGTCCTCCATTGAAAATTGGATAAGATGCAGAGTGACTTCGAAGCCTGATTTTTAGGCAAAAAATTTGCATTGTTGGAACAATGATATATGGTAATTGCTCTGTTATAACGTTTAAGCTGAGCATAATTTTCCGGGGGATATTGGTGTCATGCTACTCAAAAGTCAAAATGACAGGGTTAGGGTTTACCTCGTTTCTGAACAGTTTTCTCATTGTGTCTGATTATTGTGTATTTGAGGTTGAAGTACAGTCAGGTACTGATAAACATGAACATAGAAGACTCAGAAATCATGGATCGCTTGTACAGTTTGCCATTCCACGACTGTTATTTGAAAAAATATTTCTTTACAAAGTTTACCAAAATTTTGGATTCGTCGGAACAGATTTGTAATCCTGAACATGTTTGAGTGATCCATGCGCAACTGTGTGCTTAAACTTCTTGAGTAGCAACCGATATCAGTTCAAGGGCAAGGGAATACAAAATGGCGGCTGCAGTTTTAAGTGAGGGAAGACAGTAAATTATTATTTTGTTTTGTACAGTGGCAGATATGGCCCGACATACGTGTCGACATCCATGTTTTTACCGGCAGTGAGATGTATTATGCAGGTAGTTGGAGGGTGATTTTAGTCGGTCCTGCGTTACTCTTTCTTTCATTTCTGGCAATGGGTTTTGCTTTTTAAAGCGTTAAATGACCATCACTGTCAGTGTGCTCTTAACTCAAACTAAACACGAAAGACGTGTTGCTATTATAGTAGTAGTGGGTTATTGGTGATCTCACCTGCATGGAATTGCTTTGGATAAGTAGAACCATTTGTGTGGCAAGACGTTCTTTCGATGCACTGTGTGTGTGTGTGCTTTTGTGTCTGTGTGTGTGTCAGCTGTGGCTGTGATTGAAAGCTCCGTCATGATGGAGCGAGACATTCCTCTCTTTCTCACATTCTCACATGTTATACCAAGAGGATGTTTGGTTTTTGCTCAAGTTTCAGTTTATTTCTTTGTGATGCTCCTTGTTGCTCTTTAACTCTTTGCAAACAGTCTGAATGGGTGGTTAGCGGGTGCTTTGGTGTGGTCTACACCACCTTTCCTATCAAACATCTATTATCCATAACTCTCCTCCTTTTCAATGTATGTTAGTCGCTACTCTTATAAGACTACTAATCTTTGACACTTATGTGACCTATTTATGTGGCAAATGCCATAAAACGCCTTAAGACTACTAAGCTAAAAGTGAAGATAATGGTGAAGCAAACATCTCATGGCTGAAAATATAGGACAACATTTTATGAAGTTTTGCATGTTTGAAGTTTGTATTTATGTCTTATGCAATCAGCTGAAATACTGGCATCTGTGGTGTAGCGGTTTAGTCGCTTCACTGTCGCAATCAGGAGACCTGAGTTCAATTCTCAAGTAGGGAGGAAATTTTTTATGGAGTATCTTGGTCTTTCTTTTTGTTGGGATGCATCCCTCTCAACCCAGGTTAGTCCTAACAGGCTAGGTCAGAAGCCCACTTTCTTCTTTATCTAAATTGTGTTGATGGGGGCATAAAAACACCATACATTTAAATTAAAAATTTTCAGCTGAAATGAGCTTGCCAGAAACAGATTGGTACAAGAAGTTTCGATTTTAAGGAGAGAGGTGAGAATGATTTTGTTATGATTTTTTTTACTATTTTCCAATTGATTCTAATTTTAAAAGCTTTATTTACACGAGATTCTTATTCTTTGTAATTAATTAACTTTGAAGTAAGAAATTATTTCTTTGAAAATGTGCAGCTCCATTGGACTTTGGGCTTTTGATTTCTGAGATTTCCTGTTGTATACTTGGTAGTAGTTTTGCCAAAGGCACGGATGCTCGGGTAGGTGGTTGACGGGTGCCATGGTAGATCCTACTTCTGTTTCTTATCCTATGTTGTTTCTGCATTTCTGTTTTACTTTTCCCCAGCTCTAAATGACGGCTATGGTTTCGACGTGCTTATTTAAATTCTATGACTTTGTGTACTTTCTGTTGATATAGAATTGAACTCTTTGTTTTGAGGGCTGGTGTGTTGTTTGTTGGGTGTTTTTTTTTTCTCTGTATCTGTCTAAGGCCCTTGTTGAGTGCCATAATTTGACAGGTTTTTCTGGCACCTGCCCATTTCAACCCTTCGGTGTAAGACTCTTATCATATGTCCCTTTTCAAAATGGAGTATGGCAGAGTCTTAAACTGAGCAGTTGATTTGCATGAGGCTTCAAAGCTGGAGACATTTCAGTATTCATAATTTGTTCAGATTTAAAAATGATTGGTCGGAACCGGTAATAATTAAGCCGTCAGGTGGAGACTTGTTTAATGTACAAAGTGTTTCTTCTGTTTTCTGCATGAGTTATTTTTTAACCAACGGCTGGCTGCTGCTCTGTTTATGTTCTTTCGTCTCTCTTCACTGCCTTCTTCTGGTCAATGTATAAAGAAAAGCTGTACCTGTATAAACGTAGGAGGTACAAAGTCGAGCAAGATTCAGAAATGCTGCTTTTGTTCAACTTGGGAATTTGCTGTAAGTGTGAATATGTACAGTAATGCGTTGAGATTCGAGTTTTAATTCCTTCAAAGATCAAGCTCGTAACTAAAAATGACTCGTATCTCAAATAATTTTTCCCATTGGCATTAATGGGAATATTTTCTATCTATTCCAAGGCCCTAAATATCACCCTTATTTTCAGAAAACTTGCTTATATTTTGGTGTATTTGTGGGTTTCTAGCAAACAAAAACGTATGATTAAGCAAGAAATGTAGCTTGCAAACAATGAAATAAAACTATGAGTGGGAGGGGGAAAAATGAATAGAATGAGATTTTTTCTTGTTTTTATTCCAGTGACTATTTTTCATATTGGACGGCTGACGCTTTATGTAATCAGAGTAAATGCTTGTGGTATGTATTGCAACTTTTGTTATTTAATCAAGGAAGAAACTTGTGTTGGACTTATTCAAAATACATTTCCAGGACTTCAGGGCTGCTATGTTGTTAGGCTCTCCGACTCGCAACAATAAGGTTGGAGATTCGAGCCCCGTAAGAAGCCCAGATTTGTCCTTGAGGAAAGACACTTTACAGTGATTTTCTTCACTTCACCCAGGTGGGACTGGGTACCCAGCTATAGAAAGCAAAAGATCTTGTCAGTCTGTTGGTGTTTCAGTGTGTGCAAGTCACAGCTAGCATTATATGCTTCCCGGGAAGCCGGAATGTTTTTGAGTATTTTTCGGTCTGTTGAGGTGATAATAGTTGTAAAGCGGATAGAGCATGCTGTAAAGCATGAATATGCGCTCTGTAATGCAATTATTATTAATATGATATGACGTTTAATCCAATGACCAGTCCATTGTTTGATCCTATTCCCATGTCCAGGCTAACATCATTGTGTTATTACTAGATAGCAGCTGGATATCCTCTTGTTGATAAGTTTACCAACACACACACACCCAAACCACAATTCTGTCTTTGTACCTTGGGTGGTTGATAAGTGACGCTAAAAGCTTCTACTTCTTTACTCTCCCTCTATTGTTTCTCTCTGTCTGACGGTCTTGCTTTTCCCTAGCACTAACTAATCATTGTTGCGTGAATGTGCTTCTCTTCACTCAAACAAATGTTTTTGTATAGTGCCCTTTGAACATTAAGTTTACAATGAGGACAGAATTTACTGACAAGCTCCAGCTACGATTTCCATGATTCTTTTTCCATTTTATGTTCTACTTGATTGGTTGTGATCCATGATGATGCTTAGAGAATTGTAGCTGTTTCTATGAAAATCCATAACCAAATAAACTGATTCTTGAACTGTTGTCATGGCATTGTCGTCTGGTCTCTGTGAACTGCCGTAACCAGATCAACCATTTTTTAATTTTTTTTTAGGGAGGGGTATGTCTTTTATGGTGCTTGCAACTGCATAAGGTCATATGAGCACGCCGGACACATTAAACATTTTCAGTTGGTAGGAAATTTTGAAATTTACTCAGGTGGCAGCCGAAGCCTACTCTTATTGATTTTGGACCACCAAGGGATCTTTAACCTTCGCAACTTGCACACGGGACCTCAGAGATTTTTCGCCCTTGTCGGAGAAGGCTAGATGTTTGATCTTACTTACCCTAAGATCAGGGGTGTGGCTGACAGACAGCAGTAAGAAGAAGCCAAGGAGTTGCAGTAGAAAGGCTGCTGAAAGAGTCAGGAGCCCAGAGGAGGGGGGAACGGGGGTGAGGGCAGAAATTGGAGATGACAGAACATTGTTAGAGAGCAGGAAAGGAGGCGAAAAGAACAAAATTTAGAGAAGAAAATATCCCGTCGCTATTGGGATCCAAACCCGAGACCTATTGAAGGAGAGGCAAACACTGTAACCTCTTGACCGTAAGAACCCCCCCCTCCCAAACTAATTCTGATACTTAAGTCCTGATGTGTATGTCAGATAATTTGTGGCATGTAATTACAGGGGGAGGGAAAATATTTCTTTACTGATATGAGTATGGGACGGAACAATAAGGTAGTGAGATAGTGGAAGGGAGAGAAAGTGAAATATCTCCATCATACGTCACTTTTCATAATGGCGAAAGGCGGAGTCTTACACTAAGCTGGCAATCTTGATAGTTCTATCAAATGCATTGTTGTTAGTGCTAGTCTCATTATTTACTCTTTCATAGATTCTGAGTCAGGAAATGAAGTAATTATTTGTGTACATGATTGTTGTACTTGAGACCAGTCAAAAACCAGACCATCATTGATTTATTTATAGAGGCACCAGCCATCCATGTCCAGGTGCTGTTTTAGCCTGAGACCAGTAAACCAATGAAAAAGATGCACTACTGAAGTCCATTTTGAAATTGAGTTATAATGTCATGGAGTGCTTGTGAAGAAGCAAATGATTACTACTACGGCAAGACTGGCGAGAGGTCAGAGTTGTACTACTTAAGCGTCCTCCATCCACCAGTAGACTTGCCAGAAGATTAAATTTTGTTTCTTTTAATAACAGTTATACAGCACTTGCAACATAATTAGGTCGTGTAAGTGCTGAAGATTTGAGGTGTAACAAGAGAGCAGCAAACACAAAAAAGGATGAGAGAAAAGGACTAAGGGTGTTTGATAGGACAGAAGGGGCAAGCACACCAGAACGCCCACCAACCACCCACTGTAGAGAAAATAAACACAAGTTGTAGAGAAAAATCTCAAACAAGATAGAATGTATAGTAAAACAGACCTTTTATTTACACAACTGTTTGCTAACTCCATACATCATGAAAACATCAAATCTGATTCAACCAACACCAGTGTGATCACAAATACTGCTCTCTCAATGATTTACTCCAAAATCAAAATTTAAAAAACAAACTGACAAAGCTAAAGAGAAAAAAAGGGAACACATCGCTTCGTTGCCATGGGATTAACTGGAACAATCAGGAACACAAAAAGAAGATGATGAGATGGGGGGGGCATCAAAATGAAATATCGTCATCATCATCACAAGCAAAAATCGGGTCCGATCAGGTGGCAGATTCCTTGTGACAAAGGATGAAAAGTAGACAAGAAAAGAAATCACTATATTTTATACATACACTTTCAGACTGGGCTCTGGGCAATTGTGTACCGGGCAGTTTATAATATTGTGTTGGAGAATCAAACATAATATAACACAGCAAAAATAAACCAACAAATTATAACAAAAACATCTCTGTATTATTATCCCTGTATGTGACATTAACAGAGACTGCAATGTACACCTCCACCCCCACCCATTTTCCCTCATCACAGATGCAAACAGGCTTTCCCTTTTTTCTCTCTCTGTCTCTCTGTCTCCGTCTTTCTCTCTGTCTCTCTCTCTGTCTTTCTCTCTGTCTTTCTCTGTCTTTCTCTCTCCTTCTCTCTCTCCTTCTCTCTCTCCCTCTCTCCCTCTC